CATTTGTTTATAAACGCAAATTAATTTTTGGAAGAAACTTAATAAAACATGGACATCAAGAAAATATCTTTCGGGTTTAGTAAAACCGCGAAGAAGTGTAATTTGCTGTCAACAAGCAAAGGAAAGGAAAAAGAAGAACCCAAAGTGGAACTCATAAAATGTTTGGAGGGCCATGAAATAAAACTATTCGAGTAAGTAATCACTTCCCAATATAAATGTTATATGCATAAGAAACTCCACATATTTACAGAGAGAAGAAGGAGGAGCCTCCTATGGTCATTCCATTGAAGGAGGACACTAAAACTTCAGCGGCACTTGCAAGTTTGATAAAAAGACGAGCTGTTTTGCTGGGCGAATCAGATGAACCGATAAGCAAAGTGAACACAGAAACTAATGGCACAAGTGGAAAGGTGATCAACGAGAGTTTAGAGGAAAGAGCTGCTCGTGAGTTACTTGCTTCAGTACAAGGTAACGACGACGGACCCGTTGATAAAAATCTTGTACTACCTACTTTAAAAGCAGACGAGTTGCCACTTGAAGGCGCCAAACAATCGTCTATAGATGATTATGAAAATGTACCCATAGAACAATTTGGAAAAGCTATGTTACGCGGCATGGGCTGGGTTGAGCCCATTCAAAAAAAGGGTGGTCCACCAGAAGATGAAATGCCATTTGTGCGTCCAAAGGGAATGGGGTTAGGTGCTGATAAAGCCCTCAAAAAACAGCCCTTATTAGTTGCACCAGAGAAAAATGAAGTGCTCGAAATCAAAAAACAAGCATTCGTGCGTATATTGGGTGGAAAACATAAAGATATGTACGGGCAAATAGAAGGATTCGATGATCATGCGGCACGTGTGATTGTCAAAATGGCTATAGGCGGCAATAAAGAAGCGTTTAACGAGTTTTTATGTCAACCAGTAGCGAAGAAGGAATACGCTCAGTACGGAAAATGCATAAGTATGCGATAAGATAATCCAAATAAGGGATGAGAAACTAACACCAAATTCATTTTCAGATACAGCAAAATATGAAGAGTATAAAAAGATGGAGAATGAACATGGACAAATTATTATTAAGCAAGAAGATACTGAAAAGAAACCAAGACCAGTAAAAGAAGTTCGAAAAGTGGAGGATGAATACCAAAGGGGTGATGATGACAAACGCAAGGCAGATAATAAAGCCAGAGATAGACGTGATGAAAGGCGAAAAACTGAGGAAAAGCAACGACCTGAGCATCGAAGTAAATCCCGTCACCATGGAACCGAAGATCATTCCTATAATGGCAATCGAGATGATGACGACCGACGGTGTGACGATTATAGGAGCAGCAACTCGCGACGTTATGCACTTGAGCAGCACGACGTCTCCAGTCGGCGAAACCGTTATGACGAACGTCGCAATGAGCGCGATCAATCCAAACGTAGATCGAGGGAACGCAACAATCGAACAGAGATAGAAAGTGCACCGTCAGCCAGTGGGAGCAGCAGCAGACGTCAACAGTATACCGATGACACAAGTGCCTCTTCAGGCACAGATAGCGATTCGGACTCGGCGTATGAGCGCAAGGCCAAAAAGAAGTCGAGTCACAAATCAAAGGCAAAAAAGAAAAGCAGTAAAAAATCGAAACGCAAGCACAGACACAGAACGAGCGACACTGAGACCTCATCAGGCAGTGATTCTGAGAGAGAGGAAGACTCATATCGACGGGAAAAGAAACAACATAAAAAGAAGACAAAGAAAAGCAAGAAGCCACGTTCAAGGTCCCGTTCACATGATCGCAGCAGCAGAAGATGACTTATGAAATGGTGATTGAATTCAATATGTAATTTGATTTGTGATTAAGCTGAACTCTGTCGAATTTCACATCAAAATGAAACTTGTTTATTCGCAAATATTTGTAATATGTATCGATCATTGTAATTCTACAAATGTAAACACGTAAATACTAATGTTTTAAATATTATATATTTAATATTTTTAGATAATCGTGTTCATATTTAAATATGTATTTCGCCAGTACGAAAATGCTTATCTTTACTTTAGGGTTCAAATACTTAATTTCTTTCATAATTAATAAATCACAATTAAAACGAGATTGTTCGAATGTAGGTTATATAGAATGAAGGAATTATGACGATAACGCTTATAAAAGTATGATGCTTATGATTTTGACGAGTCGATTACGGATGGTAACCGAACTTCAGTTGCGCTGAAATAGTATTACAGACGTCAACTGGACACCGAAAGCAATTCAATTTTTGTGCTTGCGGTGACAGTAAATTTATTAATTTTTCCAGCTTATTTTTGCAGCTTATTTACACTCAAGTCTTGATTGCTGGTACTTCAATATTCTATTATCTCAAAATATATAGCATTTAATTTTAGTTGCTATTCATATTATACATTTTCATTTCAGTGGTGTTGCCCATCGGCAACCCAACTGTAGTTGCGCTGCTATCCATAATCGAGTTGTGAAATGATAAAGGTAGGTATTCCAAATTTACGTACGATATACGCATAGATTGCAAATATCTGATCAGATTTTCTTAAGAGGCAAATGAATTCTACCATCGATGATTGTTTAATGGCACTAAGCTTTTTATGGCATCATTATTTTAAGACAAATTTTAAATTTTCGTAAAACTGTATGAAATTACTATTTCTGATTGATGAAGTATTTCGCTTTTTTTTATAACTAGATTGATTACTTTTTTGGTAATCTGCTTGAATATTTATTGTTTGGTTTGTTGAATTAATGTTTTAGATAAAGCTTATACGCTAAAAATCTATATAGTTGAAATTCAAACTTTCTATATAGAGTATTGTTTTAATATCTATGTATTTCTTAAATTTCTGCAATTCGCCTGTAATTTATTTAGATTTTTTGATATTTCATGATTTCGACAATTCAGTTTGCTTTGGTCGTATGTTTCTTTCATTACAGGATAATGCCAGCAATATTATGTAAAGTGCAATGGCATATTACCATTAACAGCATTTCCAATATATGAAAAAGTTTAATTATAAATCATATAATGAACCTATGATGACTAAAAATTTATTTCTAACATGAATAAATAAAAATGCTAAAAATGTCTTGCATTCAGCATAAGCTGTGATTTTTTAAAAAAAGAAAAAAAAGACTTCCCGACACGTGCAAAGTTAAATTCGCTTTCGCTAAATTCTCCGTGTCCGACCAACTCTTTAGTCAGTTTTCTTATTTTTTTCACGAAGCTGCTGTAGTTTCGAGTTCACGGCACACCCAAAGTAATCCTTGATTTTATAGAAAACGCCTTTTTCTTGTACGCCCGGATACAAAGCCAACACCATGGTGATCAAATACATGAGAAGTAGATTATTTATTATGGTGCCAATCCAAGCAAGTGTCAAGAGTGCAACGCTCATAATAGTGACAAACTGCAAATATAAATTGTACAGTAGGTATTTTAAATGAGTATTTAGAGGCTTAAGGAATTTTGAAAGCTCTATACACTCACCAAAGTAGACTTGCGCTCCTTAGCCGAAAAAAGGTATTCATACCACCCGCTTAGTGTTGATTTCAGATTACACAACTGCGTACAGACTCGCTCAAATTGTTCTTCTTGGCTCCCATTCCAATTGTCTGGGCTGAAGAGAAAACGCGATACTGATGGATAAAGGAAATCTATTGCCAACGCAAATAAACCCGCTAAGGCTAGAGTTGTCACCGTAGACATATCCAATGCCCACAGCAGCAAGTAGAATGTCGAAATAGCGGCAGCTATAATTGCTGGGTAAAAATTCTTTTCCCAACTCAACACCGAATCCAGTTGTACGATGAGATTACGCCACGGTTCCATGTCGTGCTTCAATTTATTGTAGGCGCGCTTCTGCGAATCCATTGAGAAAAATATACCGAATTGAACCAAAAGGGTCACAAAATATTAAATTGATATTGCAGTAAAATATATAGAAAGCAAAATAATTTTTCAATATACATACATACATACATACATATATTAAATGTCATTGTTAAAATTGCTGCCTGGAGAAAATTGGAAAATTCAATAGCTTACCTGTTCAACAGACATTTCTCTTGTAAAAATTGTGTATTGTTTGGAATGTCCAGATGCGATTACGTGAATTAAATGCTATACTTTTTCTACTTTTGATAAATCAATAAGCTCTTAAGCTGGAAAACACGGACAATATACCCTCTTGGCACTTTTCTGATCTATACGATTTCTTTTTGGCGATTATACTGCGCTGTGATTTTTCAGCTACGCTTTGTGCGTCTCCCCTACCTATTGTTTTTTACGCTTTTGTTGCTTTTCAAGAACCGTTCTCTTTCAAAAGGGAGTGATAGAGATGTTTCAGCGACCGATTAATGTTGCCAATCTCTAGGTTTGTTCGTCGAAAATACAGCAAGAATTTTCCAACACTCAAAATGTTAGAGATTAACCCCTCTATTCTAACAGAGTCACAAAACTTAATTTCAAGAAAAAAGCAATTGCTTAGTTTTTATGCATACGGCTTAACATTTCCGGTAGGAAGCAAAAGGTCAGTATGTATAAATAAAAAGCTTTATCAGGGGAAAGTGTTATATTTTCAAATAGCAAATAAATAAAAAATACATCGTAAAATGTTGCCGTTTATTGCATGTGATCTGATGACGGATTCAATTTATAGGTCTTTGCAAACAAAGAATACAAATTGCGTCAAATTTAGTAAATCCATTACAGTTATGTTTGTTAACATTTTGACATGTAAAAACTAGGGAGATGTTTTATATAAGCAAGGTGTTGAATACTGTCGTACTGTTGTATGTCATAAACTTTAAACGGGTAAAACTGTATTTAAGGAATTCGCAAGCTAACATAAAAGTTTTATTATGAAATTTCACACAATTAAAAAATAGTTGGTGGTCTAAATGGCGCTTATGACAATCTTTAGTCTGTTCCAATAGCAGTCCGGTTTACAGGATTTAGTCAGAACTTACAGGAAGTCGTTCCTATTGACATAAAACCTGTAAGTAGGAACACATTTGAGAGAGTAACTGAGCAACTGTTCCTAGTCAGAAGTTACAGGATTTAGTCCGGAGTTTTGTTTCCTGTAAGTTCATGAAAAGTGTCAAACGATCAGCTGATTTACATGTGCAAACAAAAACAGAAAGCGGTGAAAGCAAAGAACCTTATATTTGTTAAAAAATTTAAGTAAACAACGAAATATTTGAATATGTATAGATTTTAATAATTATTTAGTGATATTTCAGCCAAATCTGTGTAGTACCAATGACATGTAAACAAACCGTTGACGTTTTTACAAGAAATAGTGCTTTTTGCGTTCCTGTGCACTTCGGCATCTGTTCTCCTTTTACTCTCAGTTGAGAGAATAAAATTGTAGTTTGACAGTTCCACAGGTTTTAGTCCGAAGTTCAAAGGAACAGACCACTTTTAANTTTGACAGTTCCACAGGTTTTAGTCCGAAGTTCAAAGGAACAGACTACTTTTATCCAGGCGACGATCTATTGCAGGCAATTCGATAGTTTGACAGCCATATTTTCATTTGAAGGAAAGCGTGCTGGTGGTAATATCGATGAAATTTTGATATTAAATCAAAATAAAAATCTGTTCCCTATTGGAGTATTTATGTTTACGTATTAGGAAATTATTCAGCAAGTTTTTTAATGATTTAAATGTTTTTTAACACCAAAATTGAGAGAATATNTATTTTCATTTGAAGGAAAGCGTGCTGGTGGTAATATCGATGAAATTTTGATATTAAATCAAAATAAAAATCTGTTCCCTATTGGAGTATTTATGTTTACGTATTAGGAAATTATTCAGCAAGTTTTTTAATGATTTAAATGTTTTTGAACACCAAAATTGAGAGAATATTGTCTGGAGGCGTCACGCGACAAATGCTTATTTCAAGACATCAAAGTGCCCACACGCAAAAGCTTGCAATTATATTGCTCGTCAAAATGACAGTTGGTAGGCCATCGGTGTTTGCCTGTGGAGTTCTGCGGTTAACCGGCCGTCTTCACGTGCTGGAAAATTTAGTTTAGTATTTTCTATATACTTATTTGTAAATGAAAAATAAATTTCAACTTAAATATCGATACTGTGGGTAAAGTATCGATGTCTTCCATATATCGATCTTGGAATATCGATTCAAAAAATCTATTATCGTGCCATGAAATATCGATATTCAGAATAATCGATACGATATCGAACATTCCTAGTTGGATAAATATCTTTTTACAGCGCTTTTATCAACANTGAAATATCGATATTCAGAATAATTGATACGATATCGAACATTCCTAGTTGGATAAATATCTTTTTACAGCGCTTTTATCAACATGCAATGTTGTGTGTCCAGACCACCATACTATAAATATAGCAAATGTATTTATG